CCATACTCTCCGACCCCCAACACCCCCTCTATTCCCAACTCTCGCCTTGTATCTCATCAAGTAAAACCAGAAATCAGTATAAAATAATCTATGCTCGTACAACCAAGTACAGGAACTCAATGATACCATACTTGGTCCGTGTTCTAAGCGACAGAGACAATGTTAAGCGTGAAACCTATGACTTGCTTTGTTATTAACAACATAATTTTAGGCTCTTTTATTTCTCTCTTATTTTGTATTCTATAGTGAACTCCTTCTCAAACATACTTAGCTACCTAAATTATTAACATTGGCTTCCTTTTTTGTACTTTACTATATTCCTTCTATTGTGTATCCATTGGTTCCGACTCTATTAGCACTATGAGTATTACAAAATTGTCCTGTCATTAACCATCATGTAATTATTAGTTTTGTGGTTGTTTTTTCTTATTTTCTATACTTTTCAGCAATATTAAACTGACAATCATTGGTTGTGAACGCCATAGTCACCACCATTAAAAATTTTGTATTATTCAGGATTACTCACACTACCACTACAAACACTGCATTAGACCTAACAATAAAAAACAAACCAACAACCCTGAAATGTTATTTTATGATTGTTTAGAGTTGTTTCAACCAAATTAACTGACCATCTTGGCGATAAACATTCTTAAATATCATTTCATAAATTCTTGTATGACTATAGCGTTACTGTCACCATGCATAATCATAACACAGCTTCCACTACCCAATACTGAGTTATTATTATATGCTATTTATTTTCCTTTCTACTTCTTGGTATTTTTTCGCATTTATAATTATTTTTGTGTTTTTCCTGCTTTTTTGGTGTTGGTGTCTTTAGATTTATTTTTTTTAAATACTCCTTTCAAATGTTTGTAAAATTAGATGCAAATATTGTAGATATGTGCTGAAAATTCCACACTGTACCACTAGTACTGTTTCTGGAATAAAGCAAATTATTATTAATAGTAAAAGAAGTATGTTCAGCTACTGAGCACTCACTAAATGAGTCAGTTTCTTCTACCTCCTTTCATACTTCTTTACAGTTAGTGCAATTGAAGTGAACTATTCCCAACAAGTAAGTCATATGTTATTATTCATTGGCAAATAACAGTTGCTAATCATATATCACTCAGTCCATGTTTCATACAAAAGATGTCTCTGAAACCTGTTTCATGAAATTAGCTTCTACCGAAACGAGCAGAAACGATCAAATAACTTTCATAATCACACTTAATCACAGACGTAAGTTTTACCACTCCCAATATTTCTGTAAATATATATATATATATATGGACTGATCTCACTGAACATACAGCAAGCAATCGTCCAGTTTACTAGAGACCTCTTTAAAACCAATGTTAAGCCGCTTCACAGACCTCCGGTTCATTGACGAAACCAATCAGCATTAGAAGTATGCTGACTGATCAATCAATCTGGTTTGATAAATTCCTGAACTGTTCACATTTTCCAAATACTAGTTACCTTGTTTGTTGCCCTTCTATCTCAGACCAGTTCTCTTCTGTCTAACAACACATCTGTCAGATAACTTGCTGAGTACGAATTTGCAACACTAGTGGACCATGGGGAATGGCAGCTCCATAAATTTAAGATCATGGTTAATTTTTGCTGTCTATTTTTTAACTGTTGATTTGAAGTGGAGTGAAATACATTTGGGTTTGTTTTAAAGTAGCCAGCTAACTCAACTAAAAAGGGTATTCACATATTAATGGTGAGTTTATCATATCCCTTTGTATTCTTAGTGATAATTATAAGTGTTACAATATACGGACGAGTGATCAATACTTGTCATTTCCTGTATTATTGGGAAAAATGTTGTTAGTTTTATTTCATCTAATGAATTTTTTCAGTCATATAAGAAAGCATAGATTGTGCACAAACTGTTTTAGTCGAAGTGTACTATCCTCACTTTACTTAATCATGAGTAATTCCCGAAAACAGATATGGTGTTAAATTACTTTTGAAAACATGATTTGTGTCTTAATTAATGAACATTAATAACAACAATAGTAATAATAATAATTAGTGATACTAATTTTTATTGATTTACACCAATAGGAGAATAGTCCAGTTACAAATTTGGGAGATGAAGAAAATCAACACTTTATCAACAGTAATGAATGTGGTTATGAGCGTAATAGTATGATGAAAGACCGTACAGGTGATCAAACAGCTACAGGCAAGCAGACTTATTTGAAAAACACTGTTCAGCCAGAAGAGAATGAGGACGACGATTTCTAATATAAAATTTACTCATAATTTACTGGTCTATTTTCAGTATTTTCTAAGATAAAAGTTATCAAAATTTATCATTACTTATTATTATTCCCTTGAGTTCCGAGTGGAACACATGGCTTCAACAACACATCCTCAATTTCTTCCATATTCTATCGTCCTTTTCAGTTGGGTATACGATTGCCAGTATCCTCTCAACTCCTCACACGACCTCCTCCATGCCACTTCAGGACAACCCACTCGTCACTCACCATTCGGATTCCACTCGACTGATGGCCTGCACTGCGCGCGATGTCATTCGACGGCCTCCTCAATGCATGCCCGACCATTTCCTCCAATGCCATACATGGAAAATAGACATAAGAACATCAATTTTTAAAAGATACTTAAGTGACTGTCAAGAGATCAGTGACAGACTACTTTCTAATTCATTCCAGTTTTCGACTTGAGAACAAATTTAACTCTTTCGCCTGACTTTACATAAAGGCGAGACAGGCACCTCTTAATTTCAGGTAACCTTCTACCAAAGAAAATAACTTACAGGGGTCTTTTGAGTTTCGTCACTTGATGTTGTGATGCATTGGCCGGGTCATTATTCAGACTTTCAAACCTGAGCATCATCTGAGTTCAAACGTATTCATCATTACAACCCCAGCACTTGAGTGTGACTTCCTCATTACTAAACTCTATTGGTTTCGTAAATTTTATAAGTCACCATGATATTATACATGATTACTTTTGTAATATTTGTAGTATAGCCGATTAAGTTTTCTGCCGTAGTCATAGAAATATACCAAAAACCATCTTATAAATGTTCAAACGTGTTACATACTAATTTCGTGTTTCGAACTATCATGGTGACTGGAGAACTTTTGAAATTGTGAAGTATGCTATTTTGTTTAAATTTCCTGATCACTAGCTCTTATCAGGTTTTTCTCAGCTGAGAAATCGATGAAGTGCAATTACACCGTGCATTTCGAATTCTGTTACTATTATTGCCCTTCAGACTAAGCATCAATTGAATTTGCTTAACGGTATGATACCTTACAGAATGAATACATAAATCCATCAGTTTTCCGAGATCTTGAGTCTTTAGTTATAAACATATGATATCTCCCTTTTAGATTGGTCTCGTGCGATTTGAAAAACAACTAGAGGCATGACAGAATCTTTGAGTTTAAAACCAGAACTCTAGCTCCTGTCAGACTAAGTTAGCTGACGGTCTCACACCTGATGGTGATGCTAAGTTTACGCTTCCTGAAGATACAAATATTCAATCCACTGAAGTTTGTTTGTTAAGATACTTAATATGTGATTCACTGTTGTCGAATTTCAACCACCAATATTCTCTTTACAGAACTAAATCATTTGCACCACACCAAGCTCCAAAAGTCTCAGGAGAGTACAGTAATAATTCAGAATCTTGTAAACTGGTAATTCGAAGTAGGGCTGAAAAATAGTGGTAAGCATAATTATTGAGCACCGTTATTAGTAAAATCCCTGAGTATACAGAACGTGACAGGTTTCAGCTTTTCGAATCCTCATGGAAAATTCACATCCTGACATGTAGAAAATGCAAAGAAGGAATTCGGTGAAGAAACCTTTTCACTGAGTAGTTAGCGGACTAATTTCTACAGCTCGATCCTCAGTTATCGGAAACCACACCTGATTCGATCATTCTTCAATCGCACACAGCAAAGCATGTGTAATCCTGATGTTGTGGAGTTAAGCCTGCTAACAAAAGACACAGCCGAATCTAGATATACACCACGTGTCACATAGGAAAAATACAGTTAAAGCTTATGAAGTATGTTTTTGACGTCTGTATCGTAGATAGAGTTATATGTGAATCTTGAATTTGAATGGAACCTAACCATAGACATCCCCCAAAAGAAGGATCTCATTGTCACTATAAACGAGATTCCTTGAGGCATTATTAAGGATAGTATTTTCTCGTCGACCACTAAAGTTCAATAACCTGAAGAGCATGATCTTGTAGTTGGCCAACTCAGTGGGTGCCTGCCAGTTGACCTACTCCTATGCAGCTAGCTATGTATGTAGTTCAACACGCATTTATTCAAAAGGGTGCAGAAACACTATCTTGCATGGTTATGAACAGGTGGAAGTTGCGCCACAAGAAGCGCAGTAATTAAACATCTGGGTGACACTGGTCATCTTATCTGCATAATCTCTTCCTTTAAAGTCATCTATAAGGTGAATGATAACCTGCCAAAATCATCACCTATCTGTCTCATGTGTATTGCTGAGGCTGCTTTACTGTTGAAATGGAGAAGTCTTAGTTCATGGTTAACCTATTATAGTCTTCATTTTACATTGAGCCTATTTGCTCTTCTTTTGTTTATTTAATCTGTATATCCATGTTTCATCAGCCTTGGTAGCTCTGTTAGCTTTATTGTTTTCATTTTAAACAACTTCTGGTATCACCTAATTTGTCATTCTTTATTCGTTTAGTCCAGCATAAATTTTGTCATGTTATGTCTACAAAATTTCCACATTGTTACGTAGTTTTAATTGCTTACTAGTCATGTTAGTTCGATTCCCCTTGAAGAGTTTCGTAATTTGCGTAGGCACCTTGAGAAGACCGTCTTCAATGTTACACATTCTTCGAATATTCTTTATGTTATGACAGTGACATTTGACAGGTAACTGATAACTGTTTTACTGTAATCTCTTTAGGCGGTGCTACTGTATAGGTGACGGAATACAGTGTCTAGAAATCGTTAGCTAGAATAAGAGGTTTATTAGTTACCCCTCAGTTTGCCCTTATTCTTCAACTCATTTCGAAATTAGTCACACAATGCGAAGTAAACATGTATTTTCCTGGCATATCAATTTGTTAAAATGACTGAAGTGAGCACTTTCGGTATTCTTGAAGGTTTATTTCTGTAAAAAAAGAAACTTGTCGCCTCGTATTATACATTGGTAATCACAATATGTTGTTTTAAGCAATAAATTTCATTGTCACACTTACAAAAGAACGGTCATAAAGAAAAGGTAATATTTTTGAGTGTCCAAAATCGTTATATTGAATGAACTACTCTAATTCTAATCTGCATAGCGTTCTGATCACATGTATGTAATCGTTTGTATTTGATGGAATTTGTTCCACATCATTACTGCTACAGGCATTTGTTGGATACATCCCATCCAGAATAATCCCCGAATCCATGCTTGTTCGATTTTTGCATACTTCCGCATCCAGGGAACTACAGGGAGTCTGCATAGGTTGGATGCTCTGAGTACTCGATGGGTTCTGGGTTAAACTTATTTTTGGGCTTTTCAAAGAAGTAGGGAAGTATATTTTGCTTCTATCCCATGGCCATGTAGTACTTGTCCATGCAATAAAATCAGTGAGTAACATGTTGTAGTCATTGTTTGACTTCTCTTTCGTTACATATCTGATATTTTCAAATAAAACTGGAACCAACATGTTGTTCCATAGGTCAAGAAACCAATGCAATGAATCATTAATATCCATGGGGCATTTCAGTGTGGACTGCACGCCAAAAATGGCACAGTGTTTTCTGTTAGCTATAGAACACAGGATTTCATTTAATTTCCTCCAAAATTCAGTTAACCAGAAAATCAATTGATAACACTTCCGATCTTTATTTGCACTGGTATTAACATCTTCGTTAGTAAGTCCACCTGAACAAAACATTCGACTTTGAGCAAGATTTCTGTATAATACACTTTCCAAATATTCTTGTGTACTTTTTATGTCAGGCAGGTGGTGTATGATCCTATTATTTGTAAAGAGGTAAAAGACAAATCGAAATGTCAGTTAGTTTTCACAAAATGTGTTGCTAAAAATGCTACCCATTATTATCAATAAATGAAATGCATTGTCTTTAAGTCAAACGAAATAATATGGACGTAAGAAAATCAGATTTCTCGGTAAAGCGATTAGTTAGTTTACTATGAATCGATAAAAAATTGGAGATTGAAGCGTCAGTTTCTGAAAATCCTGAGAACGTTTCAAGATACGTAACAGAAATGTGTCAATCTCTTTTCACTGTAGTGTGAAGAGTGATAGCTGAGAATGTCATGAATGCCTTGAAACTAACCAACTAAAATTTCAGATTCTTTTCAGCAGTCACTTTCCTTTTAGACTTAACATTTTATCTAGTGATTCATATAAAAACTCTGTTTTCACAATAATTAGCGACTTACTAAAATATTGTGCGATCATAGAGGAAAGTTTTATGATCCGTGCTCTAAATTGTTTTCACATAGAAAGGGACTGAGATTAGGACCTATGGACATTGACAAGACTAACATGATTACCCTACAGAATAATCACACGGTTTCCTGAGCTTAATAGCAGAAGGAAGGTGGTCCAGTGATTGGGATCCACTCATTTTACAGGTCCGCTTGGCGTTACCCAAAGACGTTGAAAGCCCAGTGATGTAGGTATAACTATGCAAACACTCATTTAAGTGAGAATCCAAGTTAATTTATAATCTTGTATGTTCAATTAGTGTAGAAATACTCCGTATTTCATTAGCCATTTCCAACTAACCATAGCACACACTGCTGTGGATATTTTACTGTAGTAAATAAGTGTAATCAGCGACAAAATTCTCTGTAGACCTTAGTCCCCACTTGAGCGGAAATAGTATGTCATTATTTACTCTGCTGGATATATTTAGTTCATTTATCATTGGTGCTACTCATTCAGTTTGCAGATTGAAACACATTGGGATTTCAGATAAAGGTGTTTACACGATGGCTAGCTATGATGATAAAGTGAACGATCAGAAATCAACTGACTGACTTCACCAGCTTAAATTCCTCATTAGACAGCAGTTAGTGTAGATTAAATTACCAAATTTTGTGTGACATTTAAGATTCCATCTATTGGAATAACATGTACACTTGCAAAACAAACTGGACTTTATTAAACAATTCAAATAAACAACTCCATCAACAAACAGTTGCATTAACTTAGGAATTAAGCGTACTTACTTTACATGATTGTCATGGCAAGTGTTCTCAAAATCTTTGTCCGCCCTTTCACTTGTACCTATAATCTTTGGACTGAATTGTAAAAAACAAAATGTTTAATTTCAAGTTGAATATTCATAATGTTACGCTGTCAAAAAATTAACCTTAGACAAACCACTGCCCTAAAGAACCTTGTTATGAGTAATTTTTCTATGACAAGATTAATAAACACTCGTGAAATCTTAATGTGACATATTAATTGAACTTCATTCATATCAAACAGTTTTGTATTCACTATTACACTACGAATCTCCATCAGTGCATGAAACATCTTTTAATGATGTCATGTGATAAGTACTAAAAGTTGTACGCACCTTTGGAGAGACAACAGACAGAATATCCGAAATCCAAAACTCAAATATTTGTTCTTATTCTCATGTTTCTACTGAGAAATGTCTGTTTGAGGTGATAGTTTTGGTCGAAATTGGTGAACATTTCTTTGGTTTGACTTGCCACTCAAGCTTTAAGGAGTATATTCATTATAACATAGAAATCATCTAGATAATCAAACCAGTTGACATGGGAAACAGAAAGATTTGATCAAATTTGTAGAATTCTTGGTTCTACACCCGTGAAATGTTCATTTGCTTCCCCCGCCCCCACATATTGAATAAAACTTAGTGGAATTTTATGTCAACTAGACCCTGTGGGGTACAATTATTGGAATGCACTTAAATCCGACAGACACCTAACATACTAACATACTGGATGATACTCATGCTATGCAGATGTCATGCAGCTAGATGATTAAAGTTGGTTCCTAGAGAGTGAGGCGAAAGTGAAGTATTCATTTTGAATACAGAAGAGTAGAGATCGACATTATGTGTGCTTATAAGGTATAAGTCTGTTACACACTGTCAATAGGTTGCTTAAATCCCTGCGGATGACAGCGTTTTTTAACTTTGTTTCCTAACTGTATACTCAAATATGTCTAGATAGTCTGATACTCTTTTACTTCTTAAAAACCAACTTTTCACTGATACACCATGCATGATTTAGGTAACTAAAGATAAAGAATGACTGAGCTGTGATGTCTACCACTTGACTGGAAATTAAAAAAAAATACTGCAGCTTTATATGATTCTTATACGAAGGTTTGTGCAGTTTTCTGATTATTACTGGCATTCCACAGCAAGCCTGAATGAAAATTAAATGTCAGATAATCAAGTGTAAACTGACATTTTCATATATACATATATTTATATATATGTAATTTCTCAACTTATGCAGTGAATCAGAGCCGTAAATTAAATGGAGTGAAAATACGTATTGAAAAGTTGTACAGTGGTTGTGTATTTGTTTGGCAAAGTTAATCAGTTATAAAGTAACAATAATGTTCATTTCAACGAAGTAAGTGATTCACTAACTCTGCAAATACACATTTCAAGTTAGAATAATGAACGATTAAGCATTTTTAAGGATGGTCTTTCATTGACTGACGTGAATTCGACAAATGTTTGTCACTAACTTCAGACTCTTTCCCAGTGTCCATCCTCATCGTCACTTGGGAATTACTCCATCATGTTTAGACTACAAGGTATGCACTTTACCAATCAGTAAGTATGTAGAAATTCAACGGTCTATGAATGACAGACTCCACTAAGTAGTGTGTGTGTGTTTGTGTTTGTAGATACTGATCGATCACAGATTGGTGGTTGCGTTATACTGCTAACTACAAGTATTCAGAATTCGTGGGTCATTGAATTATAACCCAGTGACTGAATGGTAACATGCTTGACTCATAACCTAAGCGTGCTTGGTGTGAACAATGATGCCGTTATGGGTGTACATTGATGAAATTAAATCCTCAAAATCACAACATTACATTTCCAGCTGAAATTTCAAAATAAGTGAATATTTCCCACTCATTTCAGCCATTGTGTTGTCAGTTGTTTGTCTTTCTACGTGCTAAATTAATAGACTTAGAATTCACGTGGAAAATCGCCTTTTTTAAGAGACTGATAGTCAGTGTATAAACCAAATTAATTTGTAGCAATTAGGGAATAGCTGTTTGATTTAGCAGGTAAGTTTATTTATACATTCTCTTTCTATTTGCTGTTGTAACATTAGAAATGCAGAGACGAAGTATCACTTAGAAAATTTTATTTGCATTCTTTGTCGCGCTACAAGTATCATATTTAGAACGACAACTGAGTCATGAACTCCAATTCAATCACTACAGAGAAAGTTCAATGACTATTTACCTAAACCTCATTCAGAGAGAAGCAGATATTTCGTTTACGAGATTGTGAGTAACATTTACTGCGAAGGAACATGAAATATCATGGTTAGTCTACACATATACAACCCATCCTAGATATCATCTTTAACTTGGAACATGACGCTATACCTAGTTGATAGGCTAACGCTCAAGTGAAAGCATATGCTGTCTTAGATTGCATGGAGGTTAAACTGAGAAGACGAAGAAATTTATTGTTGGTTTGATCTGTTTCTCCTAAAGACCAATCATAACAGCAAAATTTGACTGTTTGACACTTGAGGAATACAATCGTGACTAAGTAATACTGACAGAAATAACTAATCTCCTTCTGAATCATGGACGTAAAGTATTTCCTTTTTATATGTGGTTTATTTTTCATACATGTATCATCGCAACATTCGATTGTCGATGTTGAAGTTTTCGTCGTGTTGTATGTATGGTTCTGGAGTGACCTACCTCGGATATTATGAGGCCCGATAATCTAAATTTATGCATAACTATATAAAGTCCGGCACTAATGATTCCTTGAGTCTTTACACAGGTCTCACGAAGATTGGTATCTCGATATGCACAAAACGTGCTCCTATTATCCCTTCATCCTAAGTTACATGAAAATGAAGTAAATTAACCTGATAAAGACACTGATTGGTGAGTTTCTTCAGTCTATCTTACACAAATATATGTAACATGGCTTACCGTTTTGATGAGGTATTAAAAACATTAAAAATATCCATAACAGATCCTTGGAAGAGATGCATATCAAATAAGTTTATCACTTTGGGGAAACCACATTTCGAAAAGGATGATAACTGTTTTCTGAGTATCTTTTTCATTTCTTTTACAGTTGGACTTTTGTTATTTGTAAACCGGAAGTTGTATATTGCCTTTGAATAACACGAACTAGAAAGGGATTAACACAACAGAAATCGGTGAGTATTTAAATAGTCTAAAACAAAAGGATAGATAAAGCATTACTTCCAAGACACTGGTGATGTCAAGGGTCGCAGATGTCTTAGCACTGTGATGTTGTTTTTCATGAATTATGTAATGCACTTTTATAAACATGCAGAAATAGTTTGACTTAACACTTTTATGCTTATCCACAGGTCATAACATTTACTTCACCATATGCATAAGAAGGAAGGCCTAATATTTATATTTTTAAACCCACCACACTTTTTCAACATTTCGTCCATTCGAGTTGTGTTGTGATGCTTACAGTGAGGTGATAGATATTAATGTTTTCAAAAACAACGGGAATGTTTATCTTCAGCGAGTAGAATCGTTTTTCGAATTCTTATTTTACAAAGGATGATAGTTCTTTCTTACACAAAGTGAGCTGTTATATTTAAAGTATCGAGTAAATGAACGTGGTGGATCAGATGACAAAGAAAGTTGTGATGATGACTAAAATTATTGAGTACGGTTTAATCATTTCGTGTTTTGCAAGTTCAAGCCATTCTACTCAGTAGGCATGTAATTTTTTTCTGAGTTATATGCTATCCCACATTTTTGCTTATTTGGGATCTATCTCATTAATTCCCTTTTTTTGATAATCATACTTTCTCTCTACTTAAATAAGTTTTGGACGCAGAAAGTGTTGTTTAAACCAAAATAAAACTTCATGAACTGAAATTTTTCTGGTCTGAGCTCCTGTCATTGTCTTAACCGACAATTAACAGTGGGAGGACAAAAAGTTTTTTGTTGATGATGGTTTGTCAACTCGTTACGGCCATAAGAATGATTCCGTGCACATAGATTTCGTGTTGAGATTAAAGGTGCTGATTGTTATTCCATCACAGATATAGAAATGATTAATTTACTTAGTAAGTCTTGCTTGCACCCTGTGTGGAGTAGAAATAATTAGGCGTATTCAGATATTTTTTTGGTTGAAAACAGAAAACTGCGGTGGAAGAAATAATAAGGACAAGCCTGCACAATAAACGAAGTTTCCAGCTACTCACTTTCAGTGAAGAAGTTTGAAAGGGAATTACCAATAACCAAGAGAGAATTAAAAGTGAGCATGTATTTCGATAATGTAAACTGAACTATGAACTTATGCTTAGATAAAAGAGTAAATCTTATTGTTAGTTAAAAATGTATAAAGATTTATTCGGAATGAGACCAATTAACTGGCCCAGTAAAATATACAGGGTGCGACCACAGTAGTTTACAATCGATTAGTTCGAATTCTGCGGTGACCAAGATTTCCATTTCACCTTTAATGTTCATCCATCAGATCGTTCGTAGTCTGTCGATCCCAGATAGTCTCATTATTAAATATGAAAGAGACTGTTAAATAAAGTCAGTTAATTGAAAACTTCATCCCAATATATACTGATAGGATTCTTTGTGTGTTATCAACAATCTGACACACTGATATAGATGTGACTTGTAATCAAAATTACTTCTGTTGTAATTGCTAATTGCTTTATTTTCGATTTCTTTATTGTTTAGTTTCTGATGTAGACATTTTTATTTAGTCTGTGACATTATAATCTACACAAATTTACATTTAAATATACTTCCAAATCTTCAAGTTAAGATATTTTAAAGTACGGTCATTGAAAATCTACGACTAACTAAATTTCTACTAGCAAATGTGTTCAAAAAATGACACTGAATGACTAATTCAACTGAAATTTCACAATGTTCATCACAGTTATCGTAAAAGTGATGACAAAATGTTACTTATTACTAGTGCTACTTTTTAAGTAAAAGCTGTAAACGTTACTTAATATGGTTGTCTTAAAAGTTAATATTCACTTTGAAGCTACAATCAGGGTGATTCATCTTTTATATTTTTGACAAAAAATGTGTTTTTGTGGTACACTTTTCAGAAGGACAAAGATTTTTCTGGTTAGCCATGATAGTATGAAGATTTAAACTGGTTAGGCGAGATAAAAACAATTTGAAAATAATAATAATATTATCAATGAATCATATACCACGGTATTATTGAACAAAAACCCTGGTTGAAACTGCATTGTATTACATTTCCAGTAACTTTGGTTAACGGATGTTTATCGATATACTGAAATAATGTTTTTATTTTTGGTAAAACATAGACTAGCAATTTATGAATTAGCCATAGACTAATGGGACCGATCAGTTAAGCAGGTCTTAATACTACATTCCAAATTAAGATCCCTGTCAACGATCTTGTATTATCGTATTCGGCTCTATGGTGTAGTCAACTATTAGGTGATGGAAGTTGAGTTGACTTTTGTTCAGCCGCTATATTTAAGTGTTTAACCGACAGGTTCTTCAGTCGATATTGCAAATACCTGGGGATTTCTTCATTCGACAGATTCGCCTCTGAATGAACTATCATGCTTAGGTTTATCCTGTCAAAAATAACACACTTCGACAACTGGTGATCATCTAAGGCTTGGTGCTGTTAATACTGAAATAACTTCATTAGATTTTACCTTTTTATTATCAGTACGAGTAGAAGTTTTGGTGGTCGCCTGGACACCATTATTTTCCGTATAATTCATGGAAAAATAATACAAAACTTCATGTAAAATAATCCCAATTCATGAAGTTCACTTACTCATGTGATAAAATTTTGGCCAGATTATTCACCAGATGCGATTTCCCGGTTCCAGTCAGTCCACAGATTATTGTGAAATTATTTGCTTCGATGACAGATAAGTAGGACTTCAGTGTATTATATGGTACTAGACTTGTATAACATCCATAGTTCAGCATGTCAATTTTCTCAGTAACATTTTGGTGTACCTTTTTATTCTTTCTTTTCAATGTTGAGTTCATAGTACGACCTTGTAAATCTATTTCTATAGATAAGGTGAATAGCTCCAAATCATACCCTTTAGTAATTTCATTCAACCACATAACAGGGAACTGTGAATAAATTTGTCTGTTTATATGACAGCTAGTTTCCAGCGTAGCTGCAACATGCAGTTGGGAATGATTCTGATTTGTTGTAAATAACGGTTGTGGCGATGGTAGTGGTAGTATTCGTGAGAAACGTCGCACAATGCTCTCTGTTTTCTTTATATCTGGATATTTGTAAATTGAATTTAGCTGATACGCCCCTAGTTCCAGTGAATTAAGTTGCAGATGTTCACTAGGATCCAAGTAACTGATGTAACACTATATGGAAATAAAGACAATAATTTGAAGGGCTAATGCTTAACAGAGTTAAAAATAATATGAATACTTGAAATTCTGGATGACTTTAGTGGCGGTGGTCAAGAGTGAATTTGCATCTAACTGTAAGTGAAATGCTTCATCCAGAATTGAACAGCTCGGTAAAAGAATATGTAAAACAACTGAGAATCAGATAACCGTGACAGTTACTGTATCCTAGTCTACAGTGTTAAACAGTGAAGAATAGGTTACGGCACATTGAGAACCCTACTACTCGGGAATAGATTTGATGTACATTGATTAATTGTTGATAAACACAGAGACTTAATACTCTTCATAATATTGAAGTAGACCCGGTCACTAACACAAATCAGTCTCAGAAAAGTGTTAACCATTGGTCAGTGGGCAGCTGTTCATCAGTAAGTAAGTCAAAATCTAGTAACTGATATATTTGTTTGATTGCTATCAATCCGTGGTACTCTACAACCTTAGTTTAATATCATCGGTAAGTAGTTGTTTTCACAAGTTGTATATGAGGTTATGCAATAAGTGCATAACAAATAAATAATAGCAATTGTGACATGATACTACAAGGCAATAGGAGAAGACCAAACAGAAATAAGACAAACTAAGCAACCAGGCGGATGAAGATAGTGTAGAATGCATGTGATCTCTGGTAAAACCAATTTCCAGCAACAATTAGAAGGATAGTAAAGTTTCTTTTGCATCTGTCAATGAATGAAATATCCAGCATTACCGAGACTCTCAAACAAAATAACTACCCAAAGAACATCAACTAAATCAACACTCACATTAAGTATGGTCGCAAAAGTATTCCGAAAATATGGGCCTCAACAGTTGTCACTCCACATAGAGCGGAGACGACAGACGATGTCAGAAGAGTAATCAATAAGTACGACATCAGAATTTTCTTCAAAACATCAGACACATTTCAAAGCAACCTTGTCCACATAAAAGACCAAATTCCTAAAGATTCTCTATCTAATTGTGTCTATAAAATAAAATGCTTGGAGTGTGATGCAATATACATCGGACAAACACCTTGAGATATCAAAATCAGAAGAAATGAACATCGTAGAGCATCTGTTCGACCACAAAAATCCAGTTGAACTAGAAAAGCCCGAAAAATTATCAGCCATAGGTATACATGCTATCGAATCAGGCCAAAAATTTTATTCTGACAATATTGAAATAACCCAGAAAAATTTCAGAAGTCACAAAAAACATTTAATATCAAGTGGAATCCAAATTTTCTGAATGGGAATGGTGGACTAAAACAGAATTTGACCTGGTGACAATATCCCTTCCCCCAAGAATCTGATAAGCGATTTCATCATGTAAACACACGCTGCTTTTATAATTTGATGCACTCATCATCAAATCCAACAATCTACACCTAGTTTTGTTATCTTTACCAATTGGCCAATTCGACAACGAAAAGTGACCCCATACTGAGGAACGATGATTAAGTTGTTATATATATGATGAAATTTTGTAAATTCCGATTTAATAATACTTCGATAAAGCTATTAGCAGCATTAAATAGCGAAACGTTAGTAAAAACAACAGTATCGTTTTATTTTTCATTCCTTGAGAAATACAAAAAACCTTTATTATGATCAATGTCATATGCCCAATGCCCAAATTTTTTCAAACTGTTGAAAGTGAACTTATTTTGGCCATATATAAATCACAAGGATATGTAGATGCTACACAGAAAAGTGGTAATTCAATAGGTAACTTAGACCACCATTTTGATATTTGATAGGATAAGCATCATTTCCTGTTCTACATTCACCCAGTTCACTTCAATTATCATTTTTTTACATAGGTCTTTTTTACAATTCAATGATCAAGAAAGTGCAGTCGGCTTATTCCGACACTTATGACTTTTTTGAATGAAGCCTTCCGGTAAGAAAACGCCTCCATGCATGTTTGAATTGTCATAGTTATATCTTTCTAGTCAGCGGCGATCGGCAAGCATACCATTAGGACTAACCAAAAGCGTTTATTATTATCATCATCATCCAATACTGTTGGCATATAAACAATTAGAATGAATGTTGCTTATAAGCCTCATATCACAATTTTATTAAACGATTAGTAAGTCAAATTATATAGATATGTATATATATTCCAGCATATTTGGTTATTAAATAAAAATGAAAATGAATGAACACTAACCACTGAAAACTACACATGTACACATTTAACTGTATAATGGATGCACCGTTCATGCAATATCTAAAAAGTAGTTCAATTTTCTTATTCATAAAGTTGGAAGGTATTCTTTATTGTGTGTGTGTGTGTATTTCTCTTGATTCCAATACCACTACTACGTTTAGTTTATACAGTAGAAGGTGGAACAGGGGCAGCAGGTACTGGTTTGTTTTAATTACTGATAACAAAAACACAGTAGATTATTTCCAATTTCACTGATAACTAACTATGTAGTTCGCATAACTGGAGTAATAAACTAAATAAACTTTAGTATACTAACACCAAGTCTTTCAGAGATTAGAATTCACTGTCCTCTCGAAAGTAAGTAGGCATACATGTTGTGTCAGTGCGCTTTATTTGTCGTTGCTTTTATTCTAATAAACAATATTTAGGTTTCACAATAAAGATATTTTAGTATGGAAATTTTCATTTTCTATCGTTGAGTTAGTTGAAACCAGAATTAAACACTTTGCTAGATAACTAATTTCAGAGTATGTGTCTGATTAAAATTAAAGCCGAAGATTTTACAGTAAACTGAATGCATTGAAGACATTACTGAAAACAGAACAGTATGAGACTAATTATTTCAGATAACCCAAAATACTTAATTGGGTTTGTAGAAACTGGATTATTTTCGATAGAGACAAAAAGTGTTTTCATATTATATTCTGGCTGTAACTCCGATATAATTGTCTTGTTACTCATTTGTTGAGCTTCAAAAGCCTGTTTCCAAGGCACTCTGTCCTCTGCTATCACTTTCAACCGGCTTCAAAATTGTCTACAATCTCCTATTTCCTCTTCACCTGATATTCAACCAGACGTTTTTCATTCAGATTCCACTTGACGCCAGTATGGCATGGGATGTCACTCACTGCGCATCCAACCTGTCTCGATTTTCTCCTGCATTTTTGTTGCGCAATAGCTTCTAAATTGGTCTGCTGACCTCCAGAGTTCCTCGTCGTTTATTCTTTCCAGCTAAGAACCTGATTTTCACTATCAAGCCATCAAAGGCAGATGTTGATGAAGGCGCGCAGTGGATTGGAGAAATTTCTTAAGTGACATACTCTAAGTCCTGGAGAAATACAAATGCGTTGGATATACATCAGCATTGAAAATTGGGATGTTGTCCGCTGTGCTGAGTTTTATGGATACTTAAACCGATTTCATAGAAATGGATGCATGTTTTGCTTTCTAAATCCTGACTTTGACATCTTCGTCCATGCCGTCTCCATGCAGTGGAAATTATGCCACCCAAGTAAGTGGCAGTAAACGAGAAATGTCCCTTAGACTTATCCCAATGAGTGTGACTGATGTTCGCTGTTAGTGGTAGTGATCGGTTATCTTCATCACCTCTTTCTTCTCAGTCTTCACTTGAAGTACTATCTTCTGTGCCTCTTCTACTATCTTGTTGGTTTTCGTTTGTGGATATTCGAGTTTATTAGGCACAAAACATAGGTCCCCTGTTAAATCCAGATATTCCAGGCTCTCGTTATCTGTTCAACATGATTCCATCTAATCACTCCCCACAGTGTGCTGAATGATGCAGTCCACCAAAATCATGAGTATTATCATTGATGGTAGACAGCCTTCTATTTCTTATGCCATGAGATCCAATGCCTCGGTGAGCTTTCTGTTGTGAATTACATGGAATGTGGAATCATCATATAGCTGTTGGATGGAGTTTATAAATGTTTGTGGCACTGCACTCCATGGTCATGGAGAAGCTGTCAAATTACTTCACAATCTATGCTGTCGAAGGACTTTTCAAAGTCGGTGAAGTTGAAGTACATAATTAACTGTCATTTTAAACTCTGCTCGATGATGATATGTAATGCTGCGATTTCATTTATTTCTCCTAAATCCAACCATTTCTGAGCGAATTTTTCAATCAACGGCCTCGTTAGGGCACTAGAGCTCACTCAATTTTGAGACTGTACTCACTGCTATTGACACTTTGATTTCTTATTGCACACATTTATAACAAATACTTACTTGTATTAGTGCACACTAATGACTAGAATAACTTTCACTTGCTTCCATAAACCTACAGTCACTAAAGTGAGGAGAACACCTTGTGTCATACTGTGCTCAAATAATAACAGCAGAACAGATTTTTCTCCATCTCTATTCTGGTTTCAGTAGACAAAGAGAAGTAATAAAAGCTTCACTAATTTTATTGCCTTTCCAATTTATTTCTTCAAAGTCTTGTTCACTTTTGACCATGCTTTCAGGTTCAGTGGTTATTTAGACGTTTTCTCGTGAAGATGCATTACTGGCCGTATAGACTTAGCATGACCTTCTTCTAACTTTCGATGGACGAATACAAAAACAGTGTAATGACTACTTGAATTCACACAGATACGCGGTGCCTAATGCTTGACGGTGTTATAGAAAGTTCTGAATTACAGAAAATAGAAAGAAGTATGAGTCATAATAAAGGCACTAACAGACGCATATACCCACCTGAAGTAGTTTTTGCAGTACTTCATCCAGCTCATTCCAAGTCATATCATCGTGTAATCCAATGCATCCTATTTTCAGTGATTTTTTCGTTTCTGAATCAATAATGATTTCTTCAGTGTTCACAAGGACTGGCACAAAATAACGACTATTTTTGCAAAATTTGGACGACAAATCTAGTTAATGTATCATGAAAGATAAAGAAATAACTCGGATTATTAAGTATTAATCAGGGGGTGAATTAGCTTTATTGGACGAATATGGACGTTTGTATCAATGGACAACTGAGTATAATAAAACTGGTTATAGATCACTTTCTGTCTTCTTGTACATTCAACGGATTAAAACAACGACGATGATGACTGTAAAGTGACCGAAATGGCTCTAGTTGTGTATTAATATACTAAGTCATTCAGGCGTTGAGAAAGAAGTATTACTGATATATCCATAAATGAGAATGTCAATCAATAAAAATGAAATTTGCACTTACATTAAGCATGCAGCTAGGCTTGCATGTAGAATTTATTTATTTATTTATTTTGGAGTATCTGCTTAAAAATGAGCATTTTTGTTTAGATTGATCTATCGCCTAAGCAATAAATGTGAGTTCGAATTAGTAAAATGCTGTAAAAAGAATTTTCTGAGTTGACTTCTCGTGAAATGATGCTTTCGATGAGACTTAATCTTCAACTTTAGTTCCACTTGACATCAATTTCAAACGAGACTTGTGGTATTTGAAGGGATTCGTGTATTTTATATTGGCATTATCAAATCTGATTGTATATTACAAGTGATATTCGTATTCAAATACTCATCTCTTGAGTGTGTGGAATAAGACAACATTCATAATTTCTTAAAATTCTGTGTGAAGCTTATACTGCAAATAATGGTGATAGAATTTGAGATAAGAACATTCGTTCAATAGAAAACAAATTCTAGACGAGAGTTTTAATAGCCAGCCTACTTAATTATTTACATTTCATTTTCCAAAATATATTGGAGTGTCCATGTGATGTTGTCATACTTTATGTGCATAATTCAACCTGAATTCTTTTGATAATTTATGCTCTCAAAACCGTATCCTTTCCTCATCAACAAATCTTAATCAAACACTAACTAACTAACTAACTAACTAACTAACTAACTAACTAACTAACTAACTAACTAACTAACTAACTAACTAACTAACTAACTAACTAACTAACTAACTAACTAACTAACTAACTAACTAACTAACTAACTAACTAACTAACTAACTAACTAACTAACTAACTAACTAACTAACTAACTAACTAACTAACTAACTAACTAACTAACTAACCAACTAACTAACTAACTAACTAACTAACTAACTAACTAACCAACTAACTAACTAACCAACTAACTAACTAACCAACTAACTAACTAACTAACTAACTAACTAACCAACTAACTAACTAACTAACTAACTAACTAACTAACTAACTAACTAACTAACTAACTAACCATTTAACTAACTAACTAACAAATGCTGGCTGAATGTCTTTGCTATACGTAATACGGTCAAGATTAAAGCTAAAATGAATGTCCATATGGTTGTTATTTATAATGTAAGCTGATCGAATTATGATCTCATTTAATTTTTTATATTTTGACTCAGGATGCGACTCACTTATGAAACGCCCAATTCAACTATATAACCATATCTTAATCTACTCCTATGGGCACTAGCCAGCCATTCCAGAGGTTGTGGTTTCTTTCTTGGCTGACACATGCACACACACACACCTAATTTATTAGCCGACAGTAGGACAGGAATAGAGAAAAGATTGTCATTGAGGCTAACAACACCATCCAATAGAAAAAAACAACAAAGCCACCACTGAAACCCGGAGACCTGAAGCTCTATGTTCAATTCAAAATGTAAGGGAATGAGAGGGACACTATGAAATTAAACTTTATTTTAGTTAGTATAGTGTCATCTACAGGTGCGAAATCGATTTTTGAAATGTCCTGTATATACATATACAGATACGTTTATTGGAAAAGATATTATGCCACTTGTAATCACATTTTTCCTATATAGTACTGCTGTGAATGTTTATTGGTTCACCAGCAAACGCACAAAAGCCTTCACTTATACACGCATACAAAATAAGTTCACAAATAAGAACTCTAACTGTACTTGTACTTATCAGGATGCTTTTCAATGCATTTCTGTAAGTTTATGTATAAATAAAGGCAGAAAATTACACTTTCTTTCTGCATATGCAAATAAATGTCAGAAATAATGATATAAATAGAATAAAGTAAGTTAAAATGTTCGCTATGGTAGACTAATAAATTGTTTTATGCCTTAACCTTGATTCAGAATTCATTGTATCACGTTAGTATGTCTGGGCATTACTCTGTTGGACAGATCATTTCTGTGATCATCAATATGTATTAGCTGACATGTGTTCCCTAGACAAAACGATGTCTTAATAGATGTATATATATCTCATTTAAGTGATCTAACAATGAATTTGTTTAATAATAACGACCACACTTTTTATAGTAGTACGTCATCTAAATACTGAAATGTATTAGAGAAGAATGTAGAAAATACCAGAAGGTTGGGATGACGATAAAAGTCAAGCTTGTAGTACACCTGATTCAGGTGTTATCACTGCTGCATTCTAGACATTTCATTAGAATTCCCATGATTAAAGTGAAAGTGAGTCATAACGTTTTATTTGGACAGAATGTGCGCATTTCGATGAAGTAGAAATCTAGAGTAGGATAATTTACGAGACACAGTATTATTGTCTGCTTTACATTAAGTAAATTCTATCATGGTCAGGATTAAACATGTCTTGAGGACGGTTATTCTGGGAAGCCGAGATAAAGAACACAAAATAGGGATTTTGTAAAGTCATCATTTGAGAAATTGTAAAACGTCTTTTCTGTTTTGAACAAGACGCACTCTTCATGTGATACTATCTAGCCGACTTGTGTCAAGTGAAAGAGTTCAGATTTGAATCTTGAAACTATTAACCAGGAAATAAGTGGTTAACTCGAACTTATGATAGTATTGCATAGTGCTAAGAAAGATCAATTATTAGAACAAAACAAACCTGATAAAAACACTTTTCTGTTGGTTCTTTCCAAACGAAATTCATTGCATAGAAGTTCATCATCAGGATTATATTTCGATACGGTTTCCTGTAGTTTTTTGTTTCTTTTTTCAAGGAGATCTATCCTACACTGCAATCGACTGATTGTCAGATAAAGTCGATCCAACTGATTTTCATCGTTCGATTTCTGACTGATGATTTGGTTAGGCTCCATACTGAAAATAAAATACATTTTTAAAGGTCAAGATAATTGTGAATAAACTTTGATTTAATATCTGAAATGTGTAGCAATTTATTTACTGGACAATTTGTAATAGAAAAACAGATAGCTGTTGTTACTTCCCGATTCTGACTCTGATATACTCATCCGCGCTTCGTGTAACTGAGAATATACTGGCCAGCTACTTCTCTGCAAGCGATTTTATGACTGTCCGTAGTGGCGAAATTCATACTGGATGGTATGTGTATGTATTCAGACAGAAAAAGTGGTTATGCATTCAGTTTCTAGGAGCTTTATTCATCCTTTCGAGCTATAAGTCTTCTCGATTATTTCCCTTCTGAGAGTAAGATCAATTTCGTTTACGTCTTCGTATTTTCTGGTCGCTATAGAAAGTTGATAGAAGTAAACAGGTGTTTTATATATTTGTTGCACCATTAACCATTGTATTCGTGAGCTTAAATCATGTTGGTTTACTTTTATGAAATATGGTCTGTTTAAAATGAAATGGCGAATAGAGTGTGCAGTTACAGAGCATGTCAAATTACATCTTGAAAGCTTTCTATAAATTACTTTTGCACTTAATTCAGTTCAATTCAGATTTTTTGACAAAGCAATTCAGGTTCGGAGAATAACTGAAAGTATGCATGAGCTCTGCTGTATAGATCCAAAAAATAAAGAATCAGATATGAAATTCTACTTCCTTTTCAATGGATCTGCAGACGACTGTCGGTTCTGAATGAAATCTACTCGAAAACCGATTGATTCTCGACAAACCTTATATCCGATTATATAAAAATGACTAACTACTTCACCTAAGTGATCGATATTAGTGTACACTTAGGCTTTTCCAACTATCTTAAATACAAAAATATGACAATAAGTCAAAGGATCAATTACTCTGAGTAGTCTAAATTAACTCACTTCGTAATCGTAGTGTCATTTATTGTACCCAGTGAATTGATTGATTGTGTAGTAGACCTTGTGCGTCTTCTGAACGCTTTAGCTATGGATTTGCCCAACTACAAAAATGGTTAAAAGAATAAAAAGGTATGTGAGGGCAAAAGATACGGACTCAATTTGTGGGTTTGAAGTCAGTTATAATGTACTTCTAGATCTAGGATTGGTTGAATTCATCATCAGTAATAACAGGCAAAATACAAAACATCATCCTCAAATTGCATCATAAACTTAAGTGAACTTTTGTCAAAGCTAACAAGTTCGTCATTCAGCCATTTGGGTCTAATGAGCTTCAGTGTTGTGAATACGGCTAATTTACAAATGCCAGCAAGCTTTGCGTTGACTTTATCCTAGTATGGTAATACCAGTTCACAATTCCCTGCAATCACTTTGCTGATCCTATTACACCATTAGTCTTACCTCAGGCTTAGAAGAATATGCTTGAATTATTATTTTGTTATTTCATCAGTTGACTTCCCTAATTGACTTAAAATTAGCGACTCAATTTAGACCTCAGAGGCCAAACAGTTTTACTGACAGTGTGAATATAAGATGGAAGACGCTTGGATCACAATGACTACATCTCTTTCACGTCTTCAACTCTCGAACGTCAAACACACTATCTTCAAACGCAAAACAAACTGATGAGTACGTCTTCTAGACAAGTTAAATTTTTGCCCATTGACTGCGACACTTGCAGTTAATAAACGTCATGTAGGGTACACTGTATTTCCCTGTAGATGTTTTGAATCATCTGTGTAGCCGAACTTCATAGATAACTTGCAGACAAATGCTCCAGCCAACTAGACTCCTTCCTTCATCTGGTGGCAGAAACTGGCTGTTAAGAACCACTTGTTGAGTCACACTTAAAACTCAAATGAATCACGCACACGCTTATTTTCCCAACACTTTTTCCTATATTTTTAAGTTGATGAGAGTCCTTTACTTCCAAACAACTGGAAATCGTCATCTGTGCCTCTAGGTATAAATAAAAAACAGCTGAAATTCGAACTCACCCATCTGGAATGTTTAGTATAGACTCCATGTTTTTCCAACGTTGAGGTGTTATTCCCAACAGAATGGGAGTAGTTGTCATGTTTCTTTGAGTCTACGGAGATAGTTTGACTGCCGGCACTTGTGTCACTTGCAACGCTACTCAAGCTTACAGCATCTTGATTGTCTGGAAAGTTTTAAATATGAAGAGGCGAAGAGAGATTAAACGGGTTTTATTAAAATATAAGATATTATGCTTTTTTAGAATAATCCATTCATCAACTGATTGCCTGTTACTCATTGATATAAGAGTGATTAGCTTTTTATTTCTCCAATGCTTAGACAGTAATCTGTATTTGAATGTAAAGTGATGGACAAAGTGAAAGTCTGTTTGGCACTGTAAATGCATCATGGCTCTCTCGTTAAATCCCTTAATTCCATGGTGTTCTCGTGAGTACTGAAGCCTTCTTTATTGCACATGGTTCAAAATATTTCGGAATGCTTCTTCATGATAGGTGGAAATCGGTTGTGTAATTAATAAACATCGGGCCGATGTATGCAGCTCATGTTGGTTTATAGTGAGAACATGTGACTCACGTCGGTTACTTTTCCAGAAAGATCTACTCAGAGAAGATGTTGAATACAAGGTTTTAATAACTAAGTACTGTGTTTTCCTCTTTCATGTGTAAGTCTCCATGATGAACTGTGGTGTTTTTAGCAACAGATGCATATTAACTGTGGTTGAACATCTACTTTCTAAGAACAGCGACGTATACGCTTATCACAGCAACGATAAATATTCAAAGAATCTAAACCAAAATCTTCTCTGACTATTCTGTAAAAGTTTGAAGTAAACAGAGACTAATTCAACCGCTTGAAAACGTTCCTGTCAAATGCACTGAATGCATAAAATGAAGTGAGATGGATGGATGGATGGATGAATTGGGGGATGTAAAAAGTGAAGCTTCACCGAAGTAAATTAACTACGATTACTTCTCCTTTATACTTCTGATTTGACCTGCACATGAGGTTCGTCTTATTTTATGCTCTGTTGGTGTTTTACAGTTCACTTCTACATTTCATTGTTGCTTTGATACACGTAACTCAATGGTCACATACTCTGACATGTTATTTATCAGCCTGTGGGCTGTGAATTCAATCTCGTAATCATCCTGAATAGTGAGTGCACTTCTGAAATGTTTATACATTTAACGGAACTACATTTCCAAGTCTAATAGCTTCGAATTAAATAATAATGGAATATAATTAGCTTAAAATTTATAATGAAGCTTTATGAATCCCATTGTGACATTTTTCGGAAGGTGAAGAGTCTGAAAATTCTCTAAAATGTTCTTTGTACATATTTATCAAGTTTCTTATGCCATTAATATAGAGAACAATAAGTTGGTCACAGAATCCAAACTCACCTTGGTACATAGCATCAGGAAGTGTACGACAAGACATCGATCTTCTTGGACTTGGTTTAAAACTGTTCGGAGAGTTGGCTAAAGACTTGTTGTCCCTATCTTCCTCACGTATATGATTTATAATGCCTTGAAGCTCTTGTATCTCAGAGTTCTGACAAAGAAATCATAATCAAATAGGCAGACAGTTATAAACGTCAAATACCAAATCAAATGAACGGTTAATGTAAATATTAGAAGAATAAGGATTATTCTGAGCATTCAACAAAGATGGTAACTAGACAGGTTTTGAATATTCGTCATAAAGATAGATATTCTGTTAAAATAATAACTGTCAAGATACTGCCATAACGTAGTACGATAGAACTAATCCTGAAGTTTCAGTTGGGCGCACTTCCTTCGATACGTCATCTATGCTTCAGCTTAGACGTCTTATAACGTCAATGTCGAAGTATTTGAATTCCAACGGTTCAATACTGTGTTTTCGAAACCCAGATTTCTGATATATTTGTCATCTTATGGACATGTGCAGCTGTCAGAAATTTAAGGGCAGAATTTAATGTAACTATGGAATATTGCATTTCCTTGTGCGTTGGTGACACAGCGGTTAGGACGCTTGCCGACCATGGACATGCTCCAGGGTTCGATCCCCGGCCGACACACTCCTTTACCTTGCTAAGCCAGCAATAAACCTGATAAACAGGAAAGGTTCTGCATGAGGCTAGCATCTCCATCCTGTAAAAATAAACACTGCCACCGAAACTTCAAGCCTCTAGCTTGAAGCCCTATTTTCCACTGGGAACGAGAAGGAATAAAATAATAATAATAATACAAATTAATAAAAGAAATGCATTGCCTATTAGTTTTACACTACTGAACTTTCAAAGAGGTAACTTTTAGACGTTGTCGTCCTCAATTATAGTGTATAATCACATGCCATTCCATATCATGGTGCCTTATCACTATATATATATAGCATATAGTTCAAACTTTATTGTTACCTACCCTTTTTGAAACTCCTGAGAACTTATTTTACGAATCTGATATAATAAGGCATCTGAACGCAATACCAAAAGTCATACAAGGTCTTATGATGAGTGTAAGCTTTACAGGTACAACTTGATAGTAAGAGACAACAGAGATCCATACTGAGATTTTTCGGTGGGTGCGTACTGATCAAGAGTCCCAAACTAGAACGAAACAGATGTCCAGTACTCCCAGGTTTTACAGTGGTTCTCTAACTGATATCAGCTCATAATGAACTCCTCCATCCAATTTTCAGTTTAATTAATTCGGTAATGAAACCAACTGTGACTGGTACACTGAAGGAAGGTAAACATTTCCCATAACGACATTAAGAATAGAACACCTTAAGATTCTGTTCTTGACTCGGAGAAAACGTCACCTGAATATGAGTACTGAAAAGTTTGGTGTATCACTGATTTATTTTCTATTTACCTAATTTCTTTTGTATTATTCATTTATTTATCTAACGGTCGATCAGTTAAACAAGTTATCGAGTGTTTATTTCAGTAGGCGCATATGATGCTTGGCAATCTAATGAGTGACTGGGTGAGTTAATTAATAAATGAAAAAAGAGCAGAATGACTAATTGAACAACACAAAACTTTGCTCGCATAAGATTCAAGAAAAAAGAGGGATAGTAAAACTATAGTGGACAGAAACGTATGGTAGAGAATAGTTGAATGAATATTTGTTGTCGACTTTTATGATGTCGAAGTTAACAAAGCCAGTGCATACGTAGAATCATTAACAATTTTAGGACCGTTTCACAGAAAGCTTCCTACCGATGATTCTTAGCACTACACGAACCCTAGCCGGACAATCTACAATCCTTCACCCAGGTCAAACCAAAAGTTAAAGTCTTCATGAACTAGTGACGCGTTTTGTTCTGATCAATTCAGACTAGTCAATAGCCTGATCTTATTTCAGCTAACATAATTTTTCATAGATCATGGCTCGATATATGTAACACAACTTCTCGCCATCTCCTAGTCTTAAAACATCATCAGCTGACTCCCCATTCTTACCAAAAGCTCTACAACTAACCTGATTACTTCTTATCTTGTTTTTATATCTAACCTAGACAAATGAACAAAACACCTGTGATAAGAAGCTGCCAACACTTTTTGAAATTCTCTTTTCAACAGTCTCGTAAAGTTGGACTCAATGGACTACTTCACGGTAAATACACCTTTTGAATGGTGGCCAGAAATTCATTCTAAACCAAAAAATAACCTAAGTTGGAAAATGATAAATAGCTCTTTATATTCATTTTAACGTTTCGTTAGCAATGAGTGCATTCGGGCTAGTATAACTTCCAAGTTTAGTGAATTCATCAAAGCATTATATCATTTAACTCACTGCCGTCAAACCAGTAGTCAGTACAGGCCAGTTCTACAGCATCACATGGCAGTCTACCAAACAAGGCAAAGGCTATTACTTTCAAACTACACTACTGTTATGTAAAACTTTCCACAGAGAGTTCAGGTATGTATTATTCCTGATATCAGGAAGAAAGATGCAGTAACTCAAAAAGACACTCCTACAAATATATATCAGGGTCACACAAAAGGAGTTTATTGTGGTTATCAGGCTTAATTTGAATTTTATATAATAGTTTGAATTCTAACCTAATCTTATTGGAGAAAAGAAATTTAGAAATATTCAAAACTTCCAAATGCCCAGAATTCGGTTTCATTAAGGTATCATTTTTAACACCTGGTTTCTATTTGTTTCAATCTCAGAGTGCAATAAGTTTTTTGATCTAAAAATAGAGGGTATTAACAGTGGTTTCGTTACAGTCTTTACGACACCTTTCATTCCCGTCCTGACGTCCTTTAGCTCTCCACTAACATTTAAAAAAGTATTTTCATGAAAATAACTTTCATAATTTCTGACGTTTTAAGTTGCCCAATTCGATCCGCCTTATTTACCACGGTATCTTTTAAATCTCGAATCATAGTGTCCTGTATAGAAGAGAAAACTTAATATTGAGCACTTAGTGACCATTCGGTACTAGTTTTTCGTAGTAGTGCAACCAGCACTGTGTTTCGATACGCAGAGCTGGTAAGATTTCACCAATCTAACTGATAATTTTGTTGATAAACTGAGTGTCTGAATATTGGAGAAAACGGGTATAAGAAGCAGATTATAGGACAGAGAATTAATTTCTTTTGGCGTAAGCAGAGACTTTATAAATCAACAAATTATTGCAGCAAATTTGGTCATGCAGGTGTCCGTGAATTGTTCATAAAATTTTCCATGGTACTACTAAGAACATGAAATAGTGACGCGCGCATTTCACGTACCACTTGAAATCCAGTTATATGGTGCTTAAAATTCCAATAGTTTCTCCACTGACTAATAAACATGATTTATTCTACCCTCACAAATTCACATATATATATTTAACTGACTTATCAATCAAGAGCATTGTGTGTTGTCACTGCTTACACGTTATAAAACTGTTTACACTAATACATTTCTAAGCATACATTTAATCCACTTCTGCTAATTTCCGCTGTAACCAAATTGGTAAAATTCGAGTCTTACAGAGTACATTATGACAAGGCAAAAGACAGATAGCGGAACAAATTAACTGCACGCACGCTTGAAACTCAATTGAATTACCTTCGAATCTCCATCAGTTCTGATTGAATCATCACCATTCCTTAGGACTCGAGTTCTTTCCAATCCTCTAGATAAGTCGGTCTCACTATCACTCATTTCAAATGAATTTATTTCTTCTAAAACATTCACAGGTGTATTTGTATCTGGAGAAATTGTTTGTCTTCTCTCACTAGAACTCGACTTTTTTAGAGGTATTGGTGAATTCTGCATCGCTGATTTCCGATCTTCTCTGTCTATGCCATTGTTACTATTGAAAGTTGCTGATTTCTGTTTTGCAGACGCTAATTCTTGTCTAACCATGCGTTCTGTTTCTATTAATCGCTTCGGTCGAAGATCATAGTTTGAGGAGCTTGTGTTCTGACCTGTTTCGAGAGATACATTATAATTTGTATCCGTTTCTAGTGTTTTCATACGAACACATGGTGACGGTAATCTTCTAGAACGAGGTACGCTCTTCTGATTTGTCGCAATCTGTAATTTGGACTCATTTAGATTGATGAACACATTATTAGAATCTAACGTCATGAGTGTTTTATCGTCTTGATTTGAACATGGTAGTGTTTTTTCACGTGAATGCTTACGCAGTGATCTTGACTTATGCTTTATTGGTGAATTTGTCTTTGTTAAAGATGTTGACATCAGATCAGGAAAATGCTGACAGTTTGGAATGATGTTACATAGAACATCATTACGGGAAACTAAGCTCAGATAGTTGATTCCACTTTCAAAAGTTCTAGAGTGGTTGTGATATTCAGCGTTAATTCCCGGTGTTAAGTATTCATCTTTGCGAATCTGTTGTCGTCCATTTCGCTAGTTGATTACGTGACATTTTTGTTCTATCCACACTTTGTATTCGTTGCCGAAGCATATTGGATGATGCCGAAGAATTCTGTTGCTCAGTGACTTCATTCATGTTCGTATTTTGTCTTTCACTACACGAGCTATGTTGTTTCTCCTCACTGGCATCATTATCCTTACAGTCAATGTGCAGTTTAGCACTACGCTCTGATTCAGATCTTGTTAATAGACTCGAAAGCAATGGTTCGTAGTGAGATTTCGTATAAGAATAGAAATTTGGATAAAATCTTTCCATTGTACAGATTATTTTTACTTGAACAGCTCAAAATGCCTCAATGGGATACGGATAATTATGTAATAAATTCCACTTCAGAGATAACTAATTAATTAATGTGACACTCCCTTGATTACTGTTCTTTCAAGTGAGACAGAAAATGTGTGCAAAGACAAAAGTGTATTTATATGTGTGTGTGTGTTTGTGTGACTCGGTGTGGCCATTCACATTATTTCCTTAACAAATTCCCTTTGCAACCATGACTTATCCAATCAGTAAACAGTCTGTTCCAATGGTCAGACTATCATTTTTCACAGATCTAGGTTTTTCCTCTCCATTTCTCTTTTTTTAAAGTGCATAATCAGGCGTAACATTAAACGATTTTATATACGATGTATATTTCTAGGACTATATGCCAGCCAAGTAGC